TGGCACAGAGCTCCTAAAACCATTGGAAGTTCCTGTGGTGAGAGCAATAAAGGTATCATTTGTGAGGTTATTGAGGTGACTTTGGGAAAGCGCCTGGAGGCTGGTTGCCAGTGGAGCCAACCACATGATTAGAGGGTTGGAACTTTAGGTCCTACCCCCTGACTTCCTAGGAGGGAAGAGGCCTCCTCCCCATGTTGAATCAGTCACCAATGGCCAATGATTTCATCAATCATGCCAATGAAAGGAAGCCTCTATAAAAACCCAAAAGGACAGGATTCAGAGAGCTCCTGGTTTGGCGAACACCTGGAGATTCTGGAAGAGTCCATGCCCAGAGAGAATGTGGGAGCTCCACACCCTCTCCCCATACCTTACCCATCTCTCCTACCTGACTGATCCTGGGTTATATATAGCCTTTTATAATAAACCAGTAGTAAGCCGACTTAAACTGGTTGCTTGGGTTCTGTGAGCAAATTAACTGACTCCAAGGAAGGGGTCATGAGGACTTTGATCTGTAGCCAGTTGTGATCGGCATCTGAAGTGGGATGGAGGAGGTGGGGGGATAGTCTTGTAGGACCGAGCCCATCACCTGTGGGATCTGACACCATCTCCAGGTGGACAGTGAACAAACTGAGTTGAATTGCACACCGCCCAGCTGGTGTCTGAGAGTTGCTCGGTGGGGTGGGAAAACCTCCCACACCGGAGTTGGTCTCAGAACTATAGTAAAGAGACCTAGTGTCCACTTTTCCAATATGGGGTCTTTCTAAAACATTCTCCCACATGATTGTTGTGTTACACACACATGGTAAAAACACCACAGAAACATACAAAATAAACGCCAAGTTCTCCAAAGCCCCCTCTCCCCACGTGCTACAACCCGAAGGTAATCACCCTTACTAGTGTATCAGCTCTTCTTCCAAAAATTGATATGCATCTCACAGGAAACACCCATGTGTGTGTGTTTGTGGAAGCCTTTTGGGTTGTAAAAACCTGGGGGACAGGCGGGGTGTGTGCCCCTGTCTTCCAGTGGGTAGAGGGCAGAGACGCTGCTGAAAACAAGCCCCCCAAAGGGAGTTACGGACCCAGAGCTGACACGGCTAATCCTGAGAAACGCTGCTCTAGGAGAGCGGTTTTGAAACTTGACAGCATCAGAATCCCCCGGAGGTTTATTAGAACAGATTGCTGGGCCCCACCCCCGAAGTTTCTAATTCAGTAGGTCTGGAGTGGGGCCCCTCAATCTGCATTTCTACAAGTTTCCAGGGGATGCCAATGTTGCGGGTCCAGGACCACACTTCCCAAACCTCTGCCTGGGACCTTCCCCTTGTCCTCCTGGACCAAGTGGGCTCCCCGGTGCCTGCTCGTGGTGCCACCAGAAGGCAGGGACAAGAGCCAACACTGCCCACCCTGTGAGCACCGAACCAAGAAGTAGCAGAAGTAGCAGAAAAGGTTTCCACTCATGGCCCCGTCAACAAGAACCCGACAGATGAGCCACACCCAGTCGCACCAGCGGCTGGAAGACGGGATTTCCAGCACCGTGTTTGTGAGCCCTGAAAAGACAGCAGGGTATTTTACTGCTAAAAGGAAGGAGAGAGGATGGCTATGGAGGACGGTTTGCTGAAAGGCGCTCTGCGATCTGCACCCCACCCCTGCGCTTTGTGTCCTCTCCCTTCCCACCTCTCCCCCTCACTTGCTGGTCCTTAGACGCGCAGGGCTCTCTGCTCTGTTGCCCGCACACGCTCGGGCCTTCGCGTGTGCTATTCCCTCTGCTTTCGAAGCTCCTCGCCCAGATGGTCGCTTGGCTTGTGCTCACTTCATTCTGGTCTCAGCTCAAATGTTCCTCCTCAGAGTGGCCGCCCCCACCACCCCAGCGGGGAGCCCCCACCCCATCCGCCCCTGTGGTCTTTCTCCTCTTCCTCTGCTCCCCCTGCCCGGGTCACTCAGTGCTGCCAACAGCGTGCTGCAAATCTGTTTGCTTCTCTATTTGTCCCCGACCCAGGAAAGCAGAGGTCCGTGAGGGCAACGCTGGTCTTCTTCGCTCTTACATTCTGGAACAGCTCCTGGCACAGAAGAAGCTCTCAAATCTTTGCTAAACAAGTGCAATCTTCCATGTTTGATAGGCACGGCCAGATTGCTCTTCAAATAGATTGGTGTTTCGGTTTTAAATTCGTGAGCCCGTGCAACCCTCATTAATTTGGAATATGTTCTTTGGGCTTCTTGTCCTCGATGTTTTTTGCGAATAGTGGCCCTGAAATTCATAACGGGTTCCTCTGCCTCAGCGCTGGGGCGGCCTCAGCTCCCCAGGTCCTGGAAGCTACACTTCCCAGCTGGGGTATGAGCCAGAAGAAACAAAGTGGGCTGGCAGCAAATCTTCCTAACTAGGCAACACTGTTTCTCAAAGGAACATGTGATAGTCACACCCATTTAATGTAAGAGCCCAATCAAGGGAGAGGCATTGATCCAGCTGACTTAGCCCGCATCAGGAAAATCATCCCCTATCTAAACTATCTTGATTTACAAGATTCTTAATGGCTCAAAAGTGCTGTATCGGCTTAAGCAGATCAAGGAAAATAAACATTTCATAACTGTGATAATATAAGCGCCTCCAGACACAGAACAGCTCAGCCCCGATGGATGGTTCTTATAAATAAACCAGGCAATAGCACACTACAGAAATAACTAGAATTTCTGTGACTTCATGGGGAGCCAAATGGAAATGCCCTTGCCAAGTGAATGCTAAAGTCATCCCATAGTCAAAATATGGTCAGGCGCTAGATGGGAGCCAGACGTTTTGCTCCAACGAGAGACCCCTTCTCAAGTGGGACCCAGTTCACTTGAGCCCTCAAATGGAATTTTTAGGCTTTGGGTTTAGGGAAAGGGACGCACGACAACGAAATGAGTTCTTCTAAAGGGTCTGGTTAAAACCAAACAGAAACGAAACGCCGGCAGCAGGCCTGGAACCAGCTCTGACTCAGCGGCTTCTGTGTTCTGCATCCACGGCCCATGCCATCTGGATTCACAATGCCTTGCAGCCCAGCAGGGTCCTGTGTGATTAAAAACAGGCCAGGCACTGGTCCATGAGACAGAGATTTTCAGCACCACTGGTTAAAATAAAAAGTTTCCTGTTAATCAGAAGAGACCAGTTATCGGAAGAACCCCATTTCCTCAGCATGTTTATTTTTGAGATTTTATGGTGATAAGAAGAAAGCAAATTATTTTTCAAGGGAGTCTGCTGTAGCAATTTCTCTCGGAAATTATATTTTCTGGGAAAAGGTGTCCATGTGAGTTTTTTTGTGTGGGCATAGGAGTATCCCAGACAAAACTAAGGGAGCACCCCCCCCCACCTTTGCCCACTGGCTCAGTTCTAGGGTAACTGTGCCTCCCCAAAGGGGCTGGGCTGCACTGATGCCAGGTTGGCCAGAAGAGGTCATTGGGTTGAGACTGCCCCCGTAACATTCCCTGGCGTATAGGTGGTGATTTTTCTTACTCCCCAGATTCCAGATCCTCTCAGTAACTAGCTTGGCAGTCTGCATGATGGCAGTCAAGAGAGGGGAGCAAATGCATCAAAAAGCCAGGCCGACCCAAGGTTCAGGAAGGCCCCTGGTGGGTGGGGACCTGTGCAAACCCGTGGGTCATCACCTCCGTGGCTTCAGGACTAGCAGGTGCCATCCACAAAGTCCCATCTTGGCCTGATCCGGAATCTTCTAGAAAGTTCTAGCATTTTCTGCACCAAGCAGGGATCATAATCCTGGGGTTTAATGGGGGTGTGTGCTGCTGCTACGGCAGCAGCTTACCAGTCAGGGAGTGCCCTCCTCCATGTTCCCTGGTAGGATCAGCTCTCAGTGAGCTCAGGCCCTCAGAGCACCAAAAGAAAATATTTTTCATGTGATGTGTTTAGAAACTGTTTCTCACAGGCAGAGGCACACCGAGACTTCGAAGGCCACAAACCTAACAGCATTGCAGACACTTTGGAAGCCAAAGACGCTTTTCCAGTTCCCAAGGCTGCCTGACAAGGCTGCCAGGGTCCCCAAGGTTGTTCGAAGATTCTCCCCTTGCAGTCTCTTTTCTTTTGGTTTCTTCCCCCATCTGATCCCTTTATTCCCCAACCGTGACCAGCCTGGCCTCCCCTGAAAGCCTCCCTCCAGCTATGAACTTGGAGGGAGGTGCAGAAGCTGTGTCCTCTGACAGCAGAAGTCTCAGTGGCCCAGGGTCCTTCAGATCTCTGGGGGGGTGGGGGCACTGGCTTTTTCTGTTCTGTTCACAGTGCGCATGACCCCCTCCGCACCGGGACATGAATACCCTCGCGGTCAGGGGCCCCACGAGAAGAAGACAGGAGAGACGTCCTGCCTCCAGCTCCTTCCCAGACCCCGGCTCTGCTGCCCGCCTCCCCACACCGGCAGTAGTCCCCTGCTCCACCATCGAAGACTGGGCGGGAGACCACCCCGAACCCTCCCATGGCAAACCCAGCCAATGCTCTAGGACTGCGCTGGCCAGTCCAGGCGCCCCTGAGCACGCGTGCAGCCCGAGCACTTGAAAAGTAGCTAGGGGGAACGGAGATTCCAGAAGTGTAGACTACACAGCGGATTTGGGATACTCAGCAGAAAAAGAGAATGTAAAATGTCTCCTTAATGTTTCTGGAATGATATGATTTTTGATATATTGGGTTAAATAAAATGTATTCAAATTAACTTCAGTTTCTTTTTACTTTGATTCAGTGTGGCTACTAGGAAACTTAAAATGACCCGCGGGGTCTGCATTTCACAAGACGAGGCTACTCTAGAAACTCTGGAAGGAGCTCCAGTGTGTTCTAAGGGTCAGGAAAGTTCCTGAAGGGGAGAGTGGAGGGGAGGATTTCCCCAGAGAAGGAGAGGAGGGCTTTTTTGGGTGGGGAAGCGATCCCCAGCAGAGCAGGGGGCTGGGGCGGCAGGACGTCACCTGGAGTGTGTCAGGTGACTCAGGGGGCACACGGACCCCGGAAGCCACAGTGTGATCTGTCTCCACGCCCTCGAGCCCTCCGGCAGGAGGGGGACCTGCGTTTGCCCTGCAAGTCTCTGGTCCAGACAGTGGCCCGCGCAGCGGCATTTTTGCACCTGGGCAGAAGGTCCAAGAGCAACAGCTCCCGTTTCAGGGCCGAGGCCTTACTGTCCGTTCAGTTTTCTCAAAAATCCTCCCCAGCTGGTTTAATTCCCGCCCGGGTTTCACAAACAAGGAAGCGGAGGTTAACAGCGCGCATGAGGTGACGCCAGGTCAAGAGAAGCAGAAACCGGGACGGCCCCCGCGTCCCCGCCTCTGTCCTCTACGCCACTGCCTCGGCCGGGACCCCGCCCCGGCCCCCCGGCCCAGCCCCGCTTTCCTGGACTCTGCCGGCTGCTCCGGATCCAGCAGGTACAGCCCCGGGGGCCCTGCCCAACACCGCGCCCTGGGCCCCAGGCTGTGGAATGTCGGAGAAGCATCCAACAGCCTGCACTCCAAGTTCCCGGCGGGCTAGGGCCGCTTGGCTTGGGTGGGGTGGGGCGAGAGGGTCCTCGGAGGCGCTGGCTACCCCCTGCTGGCTCCCCCCCTGCGCCCTCCCCCCCCGCCTTCCCTGCTCCGCTCCGGCTCTGCTCCCCGCGGGGCCCGGGGGGCCTCTGCCTCGGGCCCAGCCCTCTGTTTTCTGTTTCACCCTGGCAGGTTCCAGCTGGCATTTAGATCTTATAAATAGCCGCAGCTAGGGTGTGACTCGGGTGGAGACGTGGAGCTGGTACTCCACCCCGAAGGGGGGAAAAAAGCTTATTTAATTCGTTTCTGCACTTGGAAGCCTCTCCCGGTTTCGAAGGCCAATTAGGCGGCAGCTGCCGGGGTTTTTCCTCTCCGCATCCCACCAGGGCCAGCTGGTTCTCGGCGCCCGTGGCCTTCAGCGCTTTCAGGAGGTTGGGTGGGGTGGGCGGGGTCGGGCCCCAGGGCTCTGAAGCGGCCTGGCTGAGTTCGGCTGACTTTGGGCGAGAGCCTGTGGGTGGGGCTGGGCCAGTCTCCACCCAGGACCCAGCCCTTGTCTGTTTCTTCCCCCAGAGGCAGGAATCTGGGCCAAGAGGAAGGTTTTCTTGAGAGAGGGAGATGGAAGCCCCCAAAGTGGTACCCTAACCAGATACCCCCCCACCCCCACCCGAGAGGGTTCTAGGCCTCTTGTCTCCTGGAGAATGTGCATCTCTGCACCGTGCATCTGGTATCCATCCTGTGCTGCCTTGTAGTTTGTATCGGCTCTCAGGAGCTGGGTCCTCCTCAGGGCAGCAGGGATTACGGTGCCCGCCCAGAGTTCCTGGGAGGGTGGCCTGGTTCAACACATGGAAAGCACTGGGCACAGCGCCTGGCACACGGTGAGGGCCCCCAGATGCTCTCACCAGCTTCCGTATTAGGTTGAGATGGAGAGCCAGATAACACTCAAAGAACAGTTCCTGAAGTCTCCAAAGCAACTTCTAGGAAGACCAAAAATAAACTGGAGGGTTTCCAGTTATCAGCCAAATGTTAATATCTTAAGTGATTTTTAAAAATGGAAGCATTAGATAATAAACTGTAAAATGTATATTAATATGTAATTTTTAAAAAAAAAAAAGCATTACAAGATAAAATAATGACAAGAAACCTAAGCAAGTGGGTATGTCAGCAGACAAAAATGTGAAACACCCCAGCACTCATCCTCCAGAGATCATTGTCATTATGAAAACTCCTTGATGTGTGACCTTTTGGCTCCTTTTCTATACATATATTAATTTGCTTGCGTGTGTCTGGGCAGGCAGGGGATGAAGCTCTGATGTAGTTAGTGAAAGAAGCTCTTTGGATATGCTTGGGGCTTATGTGACTGAAGGGGGAGAGATGGACCTGGGGCGTGCAGGGGGTACCACAGACAGAAAAGGGGTGACAAGGAAGGGATGTTATGGCCTTTATCCTCCACCCTCCTTGGAACCAGGCTCGAGTTTTCTCCATGGAGATGGGTAAGGGCCATAGTCTACAGGAAAAGTGTTCATGAAAGACTTTGTGAGACTCTGGGCATAGGTCTCAGCACCCAAATGACAAGCTGTGACACAGAGTTGGGGGGGACAGTCTTGGCACTGTCAGCAGTGGGAGGTTTTGTTAAGGGTCTGTTGGGTGGCCTCCAACAATGATGACTTACTGCAGAGAAAGCCAATGGAGAACTGTGTGTGGTTCCTGGGGCCAGGACGCCGACACCCCTTCACAATTGCCTGGAAATAATGGGAAGATTTCAAAGGGAGGCTCAGGTCCTTCTGTTTGGCAAGGGGAGCTCAGAGTCGTTGGAAGCTGGGCATAAATGTGAATATGATGCCATTATTAAATAATATTGAATCATTTGTATCACTTCGTTAGTAGCTCTTGCATGGTTAATTAGGATGAAAACGCATTATTGATTTGATTATTTTTTTATTCAAGTATAGTTAACATACACTGTTGTATTAGTTTCAGGTGAACAGTATAGTGACTCGACAACCCATACCTCACTCAGTGCTCATGAAGACAAGTGCACTCTTAATTCCCTTCACCTGTTTCACCCATCCCCCCCTATCTCCCTCCCCTCTAGAACCGCCAGTTTGTTCTCTATAGTGACGAGTCCGGGTTTTTTTTTTTTTTTTATCTCCACAGAGTCTATTCCAATGTCTGTTGAACAAGAGTAAGAAGATAAGATTCAAAGCAATTCCCCAGGAATCTTCAGATTCTATCCACTGTGAGACACTACCAGGTATTCAAAGATGGTTGGCTGCCTTTCATTCCTCTGAACTCCGTCCTTCCTTGGCATGATGGAGAAGGAAGAGGAACTCAAGACCCACCTAGTGCAGCATCTTACATCTAATGAGGTACCCAAGTGAGCAAACGATTTGACCTTAACACATCCCTAGTTTCAAGAGCGGGCCAAGACACGTGGCACCTGGGACTACAGCTTTGCCTCCTCCAGGAGCTAGAAATCTGGGGCTCAGGAGAATGTCAGGTGTGGGCCAGGCCCCTGGGAAGAAGCACACCCTCCTGCATAACGAAAAGGCCACAGTCCCAGCTTCACTCTCATCCCCGTGTCTAAAGGGTAGGAGCAACAGAGGAGGAAAACCTACCTACAGAAGCATCAGCCCTTTCTAGGTGATCATAGTGTCTTGCAGGGTGCCTTGGGGGAGCCCCACTGTACAGAATATTCCTTTTGTACATGGTGCCTGTGGGTCACGTTCCTTAGGGAATACCAGGTGAGAGAAAGCCTGGTGGCTGGCAGGTCGTGGGATCACTATGACCTGGGAAAGCCTTTGGGGGCCAAACCTCTTGTTCTCTCTCTGATGGGCCTCCCTTCCCCAACTAGAAAGAGCATCATCCTCTCCTCAGAACACCATTTAACTTCCTCTTCTTCAGAGATGAAGTCTTTATTATCAGATGTCAAGATGTTTTGTACTCAGTCATCAACGTCACTTCTCAGAGAGACAGTATTTTATAACCTGAAGACAGAGAAGAGCATGGAATAGCTGCAGGTAGAGACAGTTGATTTCATTGATGAATTCCATTTCCCCCTCAATGAGTGCCTAGAGAAATCCTTCTTAAGTCTGCTGTTTCCACTGCGACCACCTTGTTCAAGCCAACGTGCTCTCTGAGTTGGACCGGTGCAATAGTTTCATAGTTCTATTTGCTTCCGTTCTTTTTTTTTTTTTAAATATTTTTACAAGTTTATTAATTAATTTATTTTTAAGTAATCTCTACACCCAACATGGGGCTCGAATTCATGACCCCGAGATCAAGAGTTGCATGCTCCACTGACTGAGCCAGCTGGGTGCCCCTATTTGCTTCCATTCTTGACTTTCTCCAGCCATTCTCATCAAAATGATCTTTAAAATAAAATAAAAGGGGGGGGCACCTGGGTGGTGCAGTTGGGTAAGTGTGTGACTCTCGTTTTCAGCTCAGGTCGTGATCTCACAGTGGTGATCTCATGGTTGTGAGATCCAGCCCCTTGTTGGGTTTGGTGCTCAGCTCGGAGTGATTCTCTCCCTCTCCCTCTGCCCCTCCTGCTCCTGCTCTCTCTCGCTCGCTCGCTCTCTCTCTCTAAAACAAATCTTTTAAAAACTTTTTTTAAAGGGGACATCTGGGTGGCTCATTTGGTTGGGCATCCGACTATTGATTTCAGATCAGGTCATGATCTCAGGGTCAGGAGATTGAGCCCCACGTCATGCCTCAGTTTGGGCTTTGAGCTCCTTGGGAATCTGCTTGAGATTCTTTCCCTCTCCCCATCCCCTGACTCTGCACATGCTCTCTCTCTCGAATAAGTAAATACATCTTTAAAAAAATAAAATAAAAAAATACAACTTTAATCTTGCCCTTCTGGATCCCAGCTGGAAAGTCATTGACTGGCTATTTCCCTTCTATCCATTGTTTGCCAATGTGGACTAAACCATTCAAGACCCTGCAGACCGTGGCTTCCGCCACTGAGCTGCAGTGACCCTGGCTGTCTTTCAGATCCTCAAATCTGCATGAGCCTCCCCTCCTGCTCCAGAGCCTTTGCCTGGACTCTTCCCCTCCCTTTCCCCCTTCACCTAAAATTAACTCTTTTACTTCAGATCTCAGCTCAAACCTCACTTCCTCAAAAAGCCTTTCACAGCCTCCAGGCTTGAACAATTTCCTTGAAATACGTTCTCTTAACACTTGGTAGTGTCCCTTCATATCACTTATCAGAGTGAGTGCCTGTATATGTTTCTGGGTGGTTACTTGATATTGACCGGCATTAGTCTGTGTCGCCAGGGGATTATAATTGCCTGAGAATCGGGACTGTGCCTGCTCGCTCTCTATCATATTCTCAGTGCCTAGCACAGAGCCCAACACAAAAGTGCCCAGGGATACTTGCCAGATATGTAGGCTTGGCTCCCTGGAGTTTGTCATCAGCTAGGACAGAAAAAGATCCCAACTTATTCTCCAAAGCCCTCTTCAAATGTCCTCCTCGTTATGATGTTCCCTGTCCGTTCCCCTTTCCTCCCCTCCACCCTGGGCAAAATACAGCTCTTCCAGCACATGCCCCAGCCTGCTCTGTGCTCCTTACTGATCCCTCCTTGGGCTTTTAAAGGAAGACTGGTCTGACCTCCCCTATACTTTCAGCTGGGCACCTCCACCTGGATGCCTGTATCCATGTCTTAGGGCCACTGTAACAAAGTACCAGGAACTGCTTAAAACAACAGAAGTTTATTTTCTCATAGTTCTGGAGGCCAGAAGTCAAAAATCAAGGTGTTGGCAGGGCCATGCTCCTTGTGAAACGTACAGAGGAGAATCCTTCCTTGCCCCTTCTAGATTCTGAGGTTTGGTGTTTCTTGGCTTGTAGATGCATCACTCCAATCTCTGCCTCCGTTGTCACATAGCTGTCTTCTTATAAGGACACCAGTCACATTAGATTAAGGGTCCAATCTACTCCAGAGGACCTCATCCGAACTGATCTGCAGCTACCTTATTTCTAAGTAAGGTCACATTCTGAGCTCTTGGGGGTTTTAACTCGGACGGATCTTTTTAAGGGATACAATTCAACTTGTAACAAGCACATTAGGTAACTCACACTCAGGTCCCAAATCGCCCTCAGTGTCTTCTCCCCAAGCCTACTCATCCCCCTGCATTCCCTCTCTTCACTGGGGCCACTTAATTAGTGGCATCTAGAGCAGAGGGGAAAGTCATTCCTATTTTTCTCCCTCTTCCGTATCTAATTAGTCATGAAGTTCTACTGACTGTCTCTTTAACCTTTCTCGTATTCATCCCCAACGACCCTATTTCAGTTCCTCCATCATCTTTAACCTGGACAATTGTAGGAATCAAACCAGTCTTTCCATCTCCTGTTTCATTCCTTTTCTAATTCATCCCCTATGCTGCTGCATGAGGAATGCACTTAAAAGACAAATATGCGGCGCCTGGACCGCTCAGTGGGTTAAGCGTCTGCCTTGCCTTCGGCTCAGGTCATGGTCCCGGGATCCTGGGATCGAGCCCCCAGTCAGGCTCCCTGCTCAGCAGGGACCCCCCGCTCCTTCTCTCTCGCTCGATCTCTCTCTATCTCAAATAAATAAATAAAATCTTTTTAAAAAATAAAACACAAAAATGACCACCATACTATGTTTAAAACTCTTTAAGAGCTTTGCTTTGCACATACGGTGGTCCAGACTCCTATGCACAGCACAGAAGCTTCCATCATCTTATTCCTATCTTTCTTAACTTTTGCTATTGCCTCTCTGCACTCTCTTCTCTAATCACTTTGAACTATTCTGTTTCCTAAGCTGAGGAAATGGTTTCATGCCTTTGCACTTGTAGCAGAGACATTGACTATATTCATGGAATAGCCACGTGTTCCTGCACATTTCACCACCTGGTGAACTATGGGATTAGTTCTAGCCAATGCAGTGGGAGTGGAAATTATATATATCACCTCCGCGCTGAGGAATTTACCCTCAGTGTGTTACGTGATAGCTTCTGGTGCCCTTTAGTGCCAACTAAAGTGAAAGGCTTACAGAAGATAAAACTCTCACGTGTGCAATCAGGAGGATGAAGTTTAAAAGGAGGTCCAAAAATTACTTTTAACTCAGGCGTGAGTGCACTAGAGTGGAATAAAAGTGGGTCTTGTTAGCAGGAAGTGATGATTTGGGAAATAACATTACACGTGTGTAACACTGCCAGAATGACTATCAAATTAAAATCGTATATATCTGGCTCACTGGAAAAGCACGAAACAGGGATTGTAAACAAAATGCAACTCTCTCTAGGGCACCTGGGTGGCTCAGTTGGTTAAGTGACTGCCTCCGGCCCAGGTCATGATCCTGGAGTCCCTGGATCGAGTCCCGCATCGGGCTCCCTGCTTGGCAGGGAGTCTGCTTCTCCCTCTGACCCTCCCCCACCCCCATGTGCTCTCTATCTCTCAAATAAATAAATAAAATCTTTTAAAAAAAAATACAACTCTCTCTCTCTCTCCATCTGTCTATTATCATTCTGTCCCTGAGAGCCGTAGGGGCCGATCCCCATGTTTTGTGCGGCCCCTCTTGGTCTCCTTAAATTTTATTTGATGGCAGCAGAATCCCTCTCCCTCCAATGTTGACTTGGGCAAGCCGATGGACTTACTGTCATGTTCAGACAACACAAAAATCCTTTGAGTTGCAACAAAATAGCCTCATTTCAGACCTTAACATTCCAAGTCCCAGGTAATAGTTAAAACCCGGAAACCGATTTTGCCTGAAATCTTTTCTCCTCCCTTGGCTCAAACCTGCCTCACCCTGGAAGCCTGCCCTGGGAAAGGAGGCGTGGTCTTTTCCTGGCCTCTCCCTCTGCTCACCTCCTCCCTCTTGCTAGCTGCTCTTTCCCTCCGTGCTTGGAATGAAGCCCAGAAAGGGGAGAGGTAAGGGAATAAGAGAGTTCTCACGTGGCTGGGTGGCCTAAGCCCTTTGGGCCGGCAGCTGGCCTCTGTGGGGTGGCCTGGCAGATGATTAAAGCTGGCTCTGTCACGGACTTTGCAGCGGCCTCCAGCTGGGCCCCCCCCCCGCCCCCCACCACCCGTCTCCTGTGGTTCCCTTGACCCAGGCTGAAGGTCTCTATCCCTCTGGGTGGTCTCATGTGACTTCTTCTCCAGCTCCTGGGATTCTGGGGGTATAATGGCCAGCCCCTTTCTGCTGAGATCTTCTGTTCATGCCTACAGGCCCCAAGACCACCTCACACTGCCCCACACCTGCTCCCTTTCCCACGGGGCCCACATCTGGTCTTGGAACATTCCCCTGGCTTTGCCACCAAAGTCGTATCCACGGCTAGCATTTAAATGTCTCTTACACTGTTCCAGCACTGTGCTACGGACTTGACATTTGTTATTGCAGTTAATGTT